ACTTTATCTTGATCAAAGGGTCACCTGGAGGCAAAAAAAAAAAAAAATCACACAATTCTGCAAATCACTAAATCACTTCCAAAACAACAACAACAACAACAACAGCAACTTCTCCCTGCTTTGTGTCAGCTCACATATCAAAAGTAGCCTAATACAAACAGTGAAATGTCACACTGCTGTCAAGCACTCTTGGAATGACCAACCAATCAAACCAGATCTAATTATAATTGTATAAACATTACAAAGCCAGGTCCAAATGCGAAAATAATGTGCATTAGCGTATTCTTTACCAAAAGCAGGTCAAAAATGACACCTAAACAATAAAGGGTTAATAAAACACAGCGAAACTCATGGGGTTATTATACTAGATATCTCAAAACACCCATATGTCACGCAGAATGAGCATTTGTCAAAGAGCAAAGGTCTTTACTGATTTAGTGTGGAATGACTGAATCTGCTCATTTTACTTTCACAAAATGAACTTCTAGGGTTGAAAACAAGTTAGTGGCTGAGATTTAGTTTACTTTCTGCGAAAGTAAAGAAAGCATGCATACTTAAAGTAACATTCAGGGTATATTAGACATTTTTGTCCTTATATGTAGCCTATTATGATCTCACCAAGCCTCCGAAGCGGATCGTGGGTTTTTGACTCGTGCGATTTGGGTTCAGTCTGAACTGTCTCTGGTTTCTTCTTCCTCCCTAGCATGTTGACTGTCCCTTCGGCTCCAGGCAGAACTTCTTGGAACCGTCTTGAGGTAAATGTGAATAATCAATAGACACAAACTATCCAGAAGAACGCGTTTTAAATGTCTGGGTCAGTGCATGTGAATCTGCTGCTGCTGCGGACGGCTGTCGTTATAACACTTGACGCGTCTAAAAACGCAGCGCGTAACTCGAGTCCGGCGAGGAGCGGTAATATTCCGCTGATGAACACGAGTCATTCACTCACACTGCATGACACACTTACTGTTACAGCCTCTGCTTCATGGCAAACTATCTGAGAAGTTGATTGTGTAATTGGTTTGTTACTTTTATTTTTAGTCTATTAACTTGTCTGCCTAGTTGATGAACAGGTGTCTCAAAAATAGGCGTTTGGAGATAAACTGTTTCAAACCAAACAAATAAAGCTGTCTGAATGCAGAACATGAACTTTAACAGACTTTTCCCTGGACTCCACCTATTGGGTTTATTCATAGTAGCAAATGTTTAAAAACATGATTTGAGCGGCTGTGCGAGATTTATCCAGCGCTCACAAATCACTGTAAATGCTGCCATCTGCTGACGTACTAATGAAATGACGGGAAATAAATAAATGAATGAAAATGATATCAAATAAAACAATAAAATTAAATAAAAAAAGATGACAATAAAATAGATTAAAATTTAAAAAATCAAATGTAATACTATGGGAAATTGGTTAAGAAAAGCTCAGCGTTTTAGCCTACAATTAACTCACATCTTCACAGGTGTGCAAAACCTTACCTTTTGTTGACATGCAAATGAAATGAAATTAATACATGAATCTATTGATTATTGATATATATACTGTGAAAACAGCAGTAGTCTTTTTGATACTGGAATTCATACATGCATGTAATACACACGCATTTTCTTTCAAATGAGCTTTTTTTTTTTATCAGGCTCATATGAAAATATCGTTGGACATTTTTGAAAATTAGGCATTCAATAACTGATTAATAACATTTTCTTTGCCTTTTAAGGAGCCTGATAAAAATGCGCATTTAAAAGAAAAAAAAAATCTCAGATGTTTCAAGAGTCAAAAATAGATTGTAGCCGTTGTGAGCACTTTTGTACTTACGTGACAAAGGTGTCATGTTGTTCATGGAAGGCAGCATCTGACAATCTGGTTTAATATCTCTACATCGGCTATAGCTTACACTGATACGCAAAGCTAAATAATATAACACGCCCTGTAAGTAAAATATAGACGTGATTTTATATAAAGGATATATAAATGAAATACTGGAAGCAAGTACAAAAAATATCTAACTATGCAGACCATTTCTAAACACGTTTAAACCTGTTAAACAGTTTCATTTAACACATTGACTTGTATACAGGTTTTTCAGGTCCCTCTATAATGCTGTAAACATGCACGCGCACGCACACAGTTATTTACTTATCTAAATGGGGACATTCCATTCACTTAGTTGTTTTTATATAGAGTTTGTTATAAGTACTATAACTTAACCCACACACTAACAGAACACTTTCTGCATCTTTACATTTGGGGAAAAAACTATTTTTACTGTATCCCATTCTTATAATGGGCCCAAAAAGATGTCAGGTTTAGTTCACTTCGGGTTACAACTTTGTCCCCCGAAATATAGGAATATACAAAACTGTGTGTGTGTGTGTATATTCACACACACACACACACACACACACATATATATATACCTCAGTAGAGGCCGAAACAGTGGCATTTCTCCTATACCTTTTCTCGGAAATCTTGCTCTGTGCTAAAATGCCTGCAGCACAAGACAAAAGCACAAAACCCGAATGAAATATGCTCTGCAATAAGAATTTATTATAGCTTGTGACAGACACTCTTTGCAGGTTAGATCTCTGTTCTTTGCATTGAGGTGAATAGATTTCTGCATAGTATTTGTAAGTCACAGAGAAAGGCCATTAACAGGGAAAACAGTCTAGTGGAGTTAAAACAGGTACACCCCAAGATTTCCAAATAAAAGTACTTATTATATTCATACAAAATATATGTATAAAAAACAAAAAAATATTAAGGAAAAACATTTCAAGTAACATCTTGAAAGAAATGACTGTACACCTAAGTGCACTTGTAAACCATATATAAACTAAAATAAAATAGGATAATATATGTTTATTTACAAGGTTAACTTAAGCAAGGCTTTGTACAAATGTTACAAAATTGTTTGACACACATACTCGACCACATAATGTATACACAGGCAATTTCAGACACACATACACACTCATATGAAGTGATTTCACCAATGAGCCGTTATTCAGTGTAGATGAACATGTGGGAAGGGGAACACACCACACTGCCTCTTATGGATCTTAAAGTAGTGAGTTACTGGTAGAATTATGCACCTGCTCTGAGCTCAATGGCCTATGTTAAAACTAGT